CCCCCTCCCCATCCAGACCCGACGCCTGCCCAAATTTTCCGGCTGCTTCCGAACTTCCTCAATCGATCCAGCGGGATAAAAGCGCAGCAGCCCCGGCCCGGCACTCCCAGTGCTCCCAGTGCTCCCACAGACGGCTCCATGCTGGGGTAAGAGCCCTGAGGGGGAGGAGGGAGGGGGTCCCAGGGCTGGGCAGGAGACCCAGTGGGGCGGTGGGAGGCTTTTTCCCCAGGGAAACGGATCCCAGTGGGAATGGGAGGGAAGAGGGTCCCATGTGGGACCCTTAGAGGCACAAAGGGGGGACACTGAGGCAACATCACGTCTGGGGGGGCTGCGGGCTGGTGTCCCTGTCCCTGCTCCCCCACAGGGCTCTGGGTGCTGGGAGCCGATGGGTGAAGCCAGGGAGGGGCAGGAGGGCTGGGACCCCCCCCCGTCTGCTCCCCCTGCACCCCAAAGTTTGGTTCTCCCCGGTTCGGAGCTGCCGGAAAGACACGGACGCTGTAATGGGAACCAGCTGGGCCGGCTCATGTGACGCCGGCGCCCGGCCAGCGCTGCCACGGGGGGGTCCTGGCCCCTTATCAGGGTGGGCGGGGGGTCTCAGACCCCCAAATCAAGCTGGGAAGGGTGTCCTGGACCCCAACTAGGCTTGCCAGGGGGGCCCAGCCCCAAATCAGGCTGGATAGGGGTTCCAGCCCCAAATTAGGGTGGGCAGGGTGTTCCAGATCCCAAGCAGGGTGAGAAGAGGGGCCCAGTCCCCAGTTAGGGTGGCAGGGGGGGCCCAGGGCCCCAAACTAAGGTGGGAAGAGGATCCCAGCCCCAAGTCAGGGTGTGCAGGGGGCCGTGGCCCTAAGGCAGGGTGTGCAGGGGGGTCCTAGTCCCAAATGACAGTGGGCACAGAGTCCTGCCCTCCCCCAGCCCCCCGGCTCAGTGTCTGCCCCATTCCCAGTGCTCAGCTGGTCCCCAGGATGTGGTGGCTGCTGGCCCTGCTGGTCCCTGTGGCCCTGGCCCAGTTGCACCCAGAGCCAGAACTGGACACGCAGTGGGAGCTGTGGAAGAAAACCCACCGCAAGCAGTACAACGGCCAGGTAGGGCAGGGCCCCTGGGGAGGGGGGCTCTGCCAGCTGGGGACCCCCAGGATGGCCCCAGGGTGGGACACTGGGGCAGGAGGGTGTCCCTGGGGCAGGAGGATGTCCCCAGGGTGGGACACTGGGGCAGGAGGGTGTCCCTGGTGCCAGAAGATGCCCCCAGGGTGGGGGGCACAGGCAGGACCCCCCTGCCCAGCCCCATCTCACCCCGTGGCACAGGCAGACGAGGTGACACGGCGGCTGATCTGGGAGAAGAACCTCAAGTACATCAACACCCACAACCTGGAGCA